CAGAGCTCCCAGGAGGGGTGCTGAGTCAGGTCCGACTTGACGGCACATAACAACAATAACAACAAGCAAATTATTATTCTAAGTGTTACTCATCTCATTTAATCCTTTTTAAAAATAATAATAACAGTATATTGTAATTACCCCAATTTTAATGGGTAAGATAACCGAAGCATGGAGAGGCTAACTTAAATGCCCAAGCGTACTTATTAAGTACTTATTAAGTCGTGCAAATAACAACAACAACACTTCATAGACAGTATAATCTTAACCATGACACGGTGTACTTCTGTCTCCATAGAAGTACATTTCCAGAGTCCTTAGTAGTAACACACATAAAGTGCCTAGCATAATTCCTTGTAGAAAGTAGATACACAGCACTTAAAAATAAATGTCATCACCAAACAGATAAGGAAATGAAACAATTTATTTGCTGCATTAATTCAGGGAATTGTGTAGTTTTATGCTTGAACAGAGGTAACTTGATTATGTAAGTGCAAACTTACTCTGAAGATCTTAAAACTATTTAGAGATCCCAGTTTCGCTATTTCAAACCTGCTTGACAGGTACAGTTCCAGAAACTTCCTCAAACTCATTTTAATAATTTTAAAGAAAATCTCAAATTTAAGTAATCAGTATTATAAAATATTCATATTGGTCTCCACACATATGGACCTTGGTAATAGCTTGGATCTTTTCAGTCACTAACATAAATAAGTGGGTTTAAAAATTATTGATTGGTGTAGAGAAAAGTCAATTTTTTTTCCTGACATTAATATTTGATATAACAAACTTTTTTAGTTCTTTATAATTACTTGCCTTTCTCTAGCTGCCATTGTTGAATGATGAGCACACTGAACATTTTTAATCTACATGTAAGAAATTTGAAATTCAAATGTTACTCATTTTTGAGAAAGTGTTCATCTCCTCTTTCCTATAGTTAATTATAATTGTTGGAGCTTGGCTACTAGGAGGTGATTAAGTTATTGAAAACAGTGGCCTATGTTTTTATTATACAACAATTACCATGGTTTTTGGAAGAATGTAACTCCACTTTCATTTCATCAGGCAGTGCTGTACTTTTAAATTCCTGATGCCTAGTGAGACTTAATATAGAAATATACATGTCCCAACATTCATGTTCAGGTGTTTTGAACACTTTATGTGATACATATATGTATGTATATATATATATATGTATGTGTGTGTGCGTGTGTGTATATATATATATATATATATGTATGTATTTATGTATGTATTTATGTGTGTGTGTATATATATATATATATATATATATATATGTATTTATGTGTGTGTGTATATATATATAACTTCTGCCAGCTGAAGTGAGTCCTCCATTAATCTTAACTGTGTTCATTAAGCCTTAAATACTTATTTTTTCTGTTCACATTTGGAGTCTCTATTAGGACATTTCATGATGAATGAGTTAGAAATGTGTTATTAAATTTTAAATTATGCATGCATATTTCAACTCTAGATATTTCTTGAGAGTTTAACTGTTTGTGGAGATTTACACTTACATTTGCATAGGGTCTCCAATTCAATATGTCCAGAACTGAATCACTCTCTAGTTCCCTCCTTGGTCCCCCACTTCAGTGTCACAGTCAGAAACTGAAGAATGATCCTTAAGTTTTCTTAGTCCCTTTTACATGACATCAATGTGAGTTTCACCTCCCAATTACCTTTAAAAAATACACACATTTAGTTCTTCTACATTATACTTTTCAGGGCATCATCTTCTGTAGCCTGGAAAATTTAAACAGAGTCCTAATAGTTGCTCTATTTTCATTGTATTCCCTACCAGTGTATTTAATCTTAGACTTTGTAGAACTCTTTAAGGCTTCACATTTGGATGACACCCAAAATCCAAGGATCTTCTCTGATATTCTGATATCTTTTCAAATTCAATCATGTCTTCCCGTTTCTTTCCTTCATACTCTCTAATTCAGGTTTAATCACACGGTTTCTTTAACACCCGCCATCTAGCATTCACAAATGTTAACCCACTTGAGCTGTACTGTCAGTGCGCATGCTGAACAACATTGTTACTTGGTTGTTTTACCTTAAAATAAATGTCAAATTGCCTGTTGGAATTTAACAATGGCACCTAGAAGATCCACCTTTCAGTTCATATTTTTACTGATCTCCTGATATTGCCAGATGTGGGTTGAAAATCAGATTCTCATTTATATATGCATGTATAGTATATGCATATTACTTAATCTATAGAGTGTTTTATATTTTTTATTTTACTTTAAGTTGTACATTAGTTGTACAGTAATTATTAATTGTATGCCTAGGAAGTAACAAAACTAGGACCTATACTTCCTTATGCCAACTATTATTTTCCTTATTATATATATATATATATATATATATATATATATATATCTACTTCCGTAGTGATACTGCCTGGGAAACCCAAGAAGGGGTCACTATGAGTCAGGTCCGACTCGACAGCACATAACAACTATATATATATATATATTTCTTCATGAAATAGCCCTTCATATCATAAATACAAATTTTAGTAATGACAACCTGGCAAAACATTTGCTACGTGGGAAAACATTGGAAAAAATGCTGTGTAGTGAGGCAAGTCTATTATTAGAAGTAACAGAAATAATAAATCATTGCATTATTTGAAGTCACTGAGGCCATTTGGGTATTCTTATGATCACTGCAATGATTTATTCAAGACTCTGCCATGTATGGACCAATGTATCTTGAATAAGCTATATGTTATTGTTATTGTTATTGTTAGGTGCCATCGAGTTGGCTCTGACTCAGCGACGTTATATACAATAAAACAAAACACTGCCCCATGCCTCATCATCCTTACAATCCTTGCTATACTTGAGCAATATAGGCTAGTTAATTTTACCTAATTTCACTGTACAATATAGGCACAGTTTAGGCAGAATACATATTCTAGAATAATATTTCTCTTCAAATGTTTCATTGGACATCCTGTCTTGCTCTAAGTGAAGCAGAGTTTCTAATGGAGCAAGGCCATGTCAGCCCACATAGTAAAATAACCTGAAAATAAACAAATAAATATAAGATTCCAAATGAATTTATCAATAAAATGTTCTAAAACAGACTTATCAGATTGTTTAAAAAGATTTTGATACTTCAAGGTATAACCATCCTTTCTTATTCTCAGACAAAATATCAGTAAGTAGACAGATCATGCTTAATCATTGAGAACAAATGATACACATGGAAATGTTTCTGACACTGTTCTATCACCATCTTGTACCAAGTCCAAATAACTTTTAGTTTAGAGGTTTATATATTATTAATGAGAGTTGGCATCAGAAAGTGTCTCTTTATTTTCTTTAATTATTAAGTACCACTTATATGCTATAAGTATATCTTACTTATTTCAGTTTCATTTAATATCATTTGCTCCTAAAAGTAGGTCATGTTTGCTCATATAATACAAAAAATGTTGTGGCTAGTTTATATTTTATTTGTAGAAAGTTCCAGTCAGGTTTATTATTCTCACCAAGTTTAACATTTTAACAAATATAAGAAATTGCTAGTAAGGGTTTTAGTCCAAGGAAAGATTAAAGTTAATTTAATATTTGTAGTCAACATTCAACAACAGCAATCTGTTTCTCTGTAGATAATATTTAATATTTTAATATTTAAAAGTAGGTCTTTTAGGAACTTAAAAAAATAAGGTTCTAGTATTTAAATATTTTTGTTTATTTGAATTATTCAACCATCCACTGAATGACATGTTAATTTATACATTTATTTTCATAACCAGATGATTCATGCAAATTAACTTGTGAAAATGGAGGAAGATGCATTTTAAATGAGAAAGGTGATTTGAGGTGTCACTGTTGGCCTAGTTACTCTGGAGAAAGATGTGAACTCAATCACTGTAGCAACTACTGTCAAAATGGAGGGACTTGTATACCATCCACTTTGGGTAAATATTTGAGTGTCATTGTATATTCAAATCATGTGCATTTTTCCTTCTATGTGAACAATATAAGAAAGTACTTAATAATATAAATATAATTTCTGAAAATTTAAGAAAACAAAGAATGTATTAACACAAACTAAATTGCATAGTTAATTTTGTGTAATTAACGTAACCAATGACATTTGTTCTAAATTCAGTATATCAAAATTAAAGTTAGAAAATTTAAACAAGATTGTGTTTTTAAATCAACCATGTGTTGATTGAGCATAAACTATGTGACTAATAAGACTACTTAAAAATATTCTAAGTCTGCCTCATAATGACCAAGTAGAACTAGTTTTCCAAACCTTAAATAGTTGACTCCATATCTGTATTCTTTACTGCGTGGTGGTTTTTCTAATGTGAAAAGTCAATTGTTCTTGAAATAAGGGTAATTTTTAATATAAATAAATTGTACTAGTACATCTTATAGTACTTCAAATTCCATCAGAGATTTTAACTCCTCTGTTGGAATTACAATGTTATACATAATGTACTTTGAAAATAATGGGTTATTGCATGTTTGCATATACTTGAAAACTGTATTACATTATGCAATAGCCATGTTCTCAAAACATGTTCTCTAGAGCACATAACTGAATATTGAAATATATTTTCCTACTGACTTCTATTAAATTTAGAAATATGTTCCCTTGGGGAAAGGTAACCTCAATGCACAATGAAAATCTAATTTGCAAATTCCAATATTCAGTGCAAGGGACGTTGTGCAACTGTCAGAGTGCAATCTATGCACATTTAATTCCACTAAAATAAATGCAAATTTAGTTAGTCAAATGGAAAATCAGTCCATATGATCTTTGTATTCCCTACATGGTTAATTTCTATTTTAGTGGGAGTTCTCACTGTTTCTATTTCTCATGTTATTCTTTGAAGTATTTAGCATAAGGTTAATCAAGAAAGCCACATGAAGATGATTTTTCATTGGAGTTCAGAGAATCAAACTGTTTTTGATTTGCATTCTAATAATAAAAGTAATAGGAGCTCTGGTAATGTAGCGCCTAAGACACTTGACTGCTAACCAGAAGGCTGGTGGTTCAAATGCACCAGCCATTCCTCAGAAGGAAGGTTGGACAATCTACTTCCGTAGTGATATTGCCTTGGAAATCCAAGGAGGGGTCGCTATGAGTCGGGTCCAACTCGATGGCACATAACAACAACAAGTAAAAGTAATACTGTTCTATTAAGTTTGATAGTTTTATGTCTATAAATTTTTGACTTATGATTAATTAATAATTAAAACATTCTAAGTAGTTAATAAGGAGCTCTTAGTGGCACAGTGCCTAAGACATTTGACTGCTAACCAGAAGACTGGCAGTTCAAATCCACCAGCTGCTCCTTGGAAGGAAAACTGGGCTATCTACTTCCATAGAGATACCGCCTTGGAAACCCAAAGGGGGTCGCTATGAGTCAGAATCGACTTGATGGAAGTGAGTTTTTTGGTTTGGGGTAAGTAGTTAATAGCATTCTGCAAAGGTATTTGAAAAGTTGATTGATTAGAAAAGGCATGAAGAATCTTAATACTTATTTTTATTCTCAAGGAATAGTATGTTGAAATGTATTGTATTACCAAAGGAGAATTTGTAGCACTGACTCCTTTATTGAATATGCAAAAGAGAATTTATACTGAATTCAACCCCCCAAAAAAACCAAATGCATGGCTGTTGAGTCGGATCCGATTCATAGCGACCCCTCCTTGAGTTTCCAAGGTGATATCACTATGGAAGTAGATTACCCAACCTTCCTTCCAAGGAGTGGCTGGTGGGTTTGAACCACTAGCCATCTGGTTAGCAGTCAAATGCCTTACGCACTTTTTAATTATTTAATGATTACCCTAATTTTCTTGTTAAGATAATGAAAATCATTAGATAACCAGATGATTTACTTTAATTTTGGAAAGACTTAGACAGACTAAACAATTTGACATTCTAAACTATGGCTATGTATTCAACCTGCAATGAATCTACAGACCAAATCATTATAAAACATTGAATTTGCTCTCTTGTTAATGGATTCTGAATTGTATATAGAGAAAGCACAATTTTATGTTTTCTTCAAATCATTTCTCCAGACCTTGCTGCATTTTTAAAATCTATGATATAGCAACTTTTTTCTGTACATCAAATTTTTTAGGCCCTGACTTGCATAGACAATATGTTCAGGAAAAATGATATTTTATATTAGTAATATTTATGAATCCTCATATAACTTCAACATAAGAAATGACCATGTATTGTCTTATTGCACCTAATAATTAACATTAATATGATATTCAATTAAGTCATTAAAAAAACATTTTTCACTTTTTTAAAATGTAGTTTTATAAAAACATTGTTTTGTATTATAGACTGTAGAACCTCATTATCTCCACACAAATGTTAATTTGTTAAACAAATCTCAGAGGGCAATTTGCAGAATTATTCATTGTTGGTTTACTCACAGTTAAGCCTTTTGGCAAATTCCTGTGTGGACACTACATAACTTGGGTTTGGGGCAGCTTTAATTAAAATTTATAAGTTTATGACAGTTGCATAGAACTATAATAATTGAACAAAGGAAATGTCACCAGTTAATTAAAAGCACACATCTGAGAGGCATAATTAAAATTTTGCATGTAGGAATGAATTTTTTCTCATACCTTCAGCTCTACCTTTTGAAATAATGAGCGATAAAAATGAAACATATGATGTATATATTCATATGGCAATGGACTACAAAATGAGATATTTAGACATTTGTATTATATTGACAAGAATCTATGTAGTTCATTTATAGGACCTGTTCATAGGAGGATATATTTAAGATAAAATTTTCCTTGGACAAGCTAATGTACAGTCAGAGTATAGTAAAATATTATTCTGTAATTCAATTATACAAAATAGAGAATACTTAATTACACTCTTCTTTAATTCATCTTGGGTACCATTAGATATGTATATATACTTAACAACTATATTTGCAATTCATCATCTCTAACTTTCTGAGTATTTATTCTCCATGGGATGTTCATACTGTTTGATGTTTCCCTTAGACTTATAGGCCTATTCTTTAAAATATTAATGTTCATATCAAAATGAATTAATTTTTTTTTTACACAGTTGATTTGGGATAATCAAGGGAGAAGGTTAATACATTTGGGACAATTTCAATTTATTTCCCCAAGTAATTCTACTCCTGAAGTTTGATGGTATTCAAAGGGAAAGACATTTAGGAAGATTGCAAATATATAAGGGAGAACTGACTAGGTAAAGTGTGAGCACAATTTTGAACAGTCAACATCATGTTTGTGTTGAATTATTTAAATGAATGCAATAGGAAAAAGGAGGAATCTTTTATTACAGCTCTCTCTGTTAATACATTGACAGTTATAAGAAATTAAAATAAAAAAATAATTAATAGTATTGGCAGGATGTATATGGGAAGGAAGATTGGGTAATCTACTTCCGTAGAGATACCACCTCAAAAAACCAAGGAGGGGTCACTATGAGTCAGATTCAACTTGACGGCAGTGTGTTTGTTTTGGTTTTATATTGAATATGTATTACATGTCAATCACTATTGTCTGTTCTTGAATTCTCAAAGCACACCTATGAGAGAATGAAAGGAAAATTCTCTCTAATTCTGTTTCTAGTGTCATGAATCAGTTATTGGTTCATTTGGATCAGATGGTGACAGTAACGCTAAGCCATTCAGCATTATGAGATAGAGCAGAAAACAACTTAGTATAGGCTCTCTAGGTTAATGATAGAAGACTCGAGTTTGCTGACTTGCATTCACAGAAAAGGCAAAAATGTTTCAGTCTCATTTCTACACTGCTGGTTGAAAATGAACTTTCCACAAGTATAAATAGATTGTGACCTATAATTTGAAACATGTCAGAATATATTAAGTAGTACCTGTTGAGGAAGCTAGATAAAGCTCACAGTTTTCCTTTACTTTGTCAGACTTTGCTGAATAGTTCACTGTAATTTTTATGATACTTAGGACAACTCGACACAGCAATAGGCAACTTGTGAAAATTATGTATAAATTGGCATTCACTTTCTGTGCAGGAAAACATTATATTAAGTGGAAAAATAGAATGTCAAATCTCTTTACCAAAGAGATTAGCAATCATTTATAGCATTTAGAACTTTTATTACTTGAATCAAAGTCAGAAATGAAGTTAGATTTCACAAAGAAGAGTCTTGGAGCCAAGAAGTCAGAAGATGGGTTTTCCAACTGCAATCTCAAAGCTAACTGAATGATGCTATAGCAATCAGTCTCTCTGTTCATTATGTTTTGTTCTGTATAAAGGGATAAAAATGTGACATCATCTAAATATACAGGTATTATTAGAAAGACTTTTTGATAGTATTCGCATTTACATTTAATGTAAACATTTGAAAATATGCTTTCTAGTTTAAATGTCAATTAAAATTAAGGGGCACTGGTGGCATAGTTGGAAAGGCATTTTGCTGCTAACCAGAAGGCCAACAGTTCAAATTCACCAGACACTCTGTGGAAGGAAGATGGGGCAATCCATTTCCATAAAGATTTACAGCCTTCTCAATAGGGATCACTGTGAGTTGAAATGAACTTGATGGCAATGATTCTTTTTTTTTTTTTTTTTTAACTTCATTATTTAGACCCAAAATGTTTATCTGACTGTTTGAACTAAACAATGTATGTATCCATGGAAGACTAATTAGATATAAGACATCTTGACTATGGACTAAATTTTAAGAGCATCACTGACTCAACAAATAAGTACCAAATTTGATAGTATAAATCCAAATAAACTGATTACCAAGAGAATACACTAATAATGTTCAGTAGCAGTTGTTGACCTCATAAAAATAGTAAGTGTAGTCATTGCCTCATAAGAAGTTCAGTTAAAATTACTTTTACTAGCATTCCTACATAGGAGCTCTGGTAGTGTAATGCCTAGGGCATTTGACTGCTAA